GGAAGAAATAAAGATTATACTATGATTGGACGTACTGAAGCTAAAATATTGAACCAGCCTCCTGTTGCTTTGCTGAATTTTGTTGATGTGGAGGTGCCTTTGTACTGTAAATTTAATAGCATCAAAAGGTCCAAAGGGTAAGTAAAAGATACAAAAGGTAGCAAAAGCAAATGGAAAAGGCTAGAACGTCCAGTGGGACCTCCATTGCACATGGACAAAACTATTCCAATTAAGAGAAAGACTTGCACTAAACTTATGGAGGAAGAAAGAGCTTGTAAGGTGTAAGTAAACATCACAGGATTGGCTTTAGATCAAATTATAACACACCTCCCTAAGCACTTTTAGTCTTAGAAGAGTTCAAAAATAAGATTCAAAATAAAGAATTGCAGTGGAAATAAAAACACTTTTGAAAAGAGAATATTATAAATACCTATAAAGGAAAACCACTTTAACAAGTTAATATATATATTGAAAAAAATGTCAAAATATTCAAAGTTATAAAATAAGCTGAGCTTAGCTCATTTATAATTAATTTAAAGATTTTATACATAAAGGTAATTTACACAAAAATTATATGAGGCAAATTCTTTTCCAAAGCTTTTCAAAAGAACAAAAGCTAAATCATTGTTTTGGTAACACATCAATCTGCCTTCCTATCGAAAACACGAGGCCCTAACTTGTACATACAATGTCACGCCCCAGAACTTAAATCCGGGGACGTGGCAGATGCCGTACACTTGTGAAAGGATCTCACAAATGCACAAGGCTCGAAACTTATTATACCACAATTTGATACCACAAAATCTTAAGATAAAATTATAAAATTTGCTCTGATATCATAAAATCTCCAAATAAAGTATAGCTTACAAAATCATGATTTATATCTAAATCTATGTTCCATTTACAAGATGGCTAGCCTTCTAACTCGTCACTCCCCTCGTTTTTCCCCATCCTTGACTTCGCTTCCTAAAATGGTGGACAAGGAAAACTATGAGATAACTCAGTAAGTAAATATGGATAGATCTTAATTAAACTTATAGCATTCCAACCAGTATAATCACGAAAAATAGGTACGAGTACGAAAACGAAATAGACGTCTCCTCTATAGGTCATGGCCAGTGTTATAAACCTCTCACTGGCAAGCACACGATTTACTAGTGTATAATTCCACTAGCAGGATAACAATCACATAAATAAACCGGTTCTATCAGTAACATGTCAACATGTGCTAGCGTTTATAAACCTCCCACTAGCGGGCACACACGAATAACATGACCATATCGAAGACAAAACAGGCAGAAGTTAACAAGAAAATCATAATTCACAAATAATTTCCAAATCATCAGAACAGTTAAGTAAACTCCAAGGCATGCTCAAATCAATAAAAAGAATAATAACTTCATTTCAAATATCATACTTGTGTAAAACGAGTTTAGTCCTGCCACCACTTCAAAAACAAAGTTAAAATGTGCTTTAAAATCGATGGGCGTTACCATAATTTATTTACCTCAATCGCATAAATCGAGGACTCAATCCCAGTGCTCTAAGCCATAACAGCACCTAATATTCCAAATAAATATATTCAGACTTTGTTAGAATTATTAGCACAACCTTGCAAATTTACTAACCAATGAGCTTCACACGAAATTCAACCATATGACCAAACATCTCAATTTTATTCTCAATATAACTACACATTTAAACCCTCCTATTGTTGGCCATTAGTGCGTGAACAGTGCCCGTGAACAGTAATCACGCAATGAACAGTAACTTCAACTTCCAAAAATTGGCAAAACCATAGTTAATCTCACGGGATTTTTCTCCAAAATCTCACAGCAGTCAATTAACACTCAATCACATAAATTCCACTTGAATTAATGCTTAATTTTGTCCTAAAGCTACCAGAATTATCCCCTAAGTAATGCAAAATTTCGGACAGCACAAGCAGCAATTTAAATGGATAATTTTAGGCCTAAAGGGCTGTCACATACCAGAATTTTGCAACAAGCAAATCGGAGCTGCAAGCTAGGGGAAGGCCGGCGGGAATGAAGGAGATATTTAGGGGGAATCTACCGGAAATTAGAGAAACCAAGAGGAATTAGAGTAAACCCAAGCCAATTCAAGAAAGAAAAGAGGAATTAATGGCTGTTCTTACTGAAAAGGCCCAGAAATTCACACCCACATAGCAGAAACCGACAGACAAGGGAGGAAGAGCAGAGCAGATCTGGAAATTCTGCAGAGGGAGGGGAATTTCCAAGCTTAAATCTGGTTCTTGAACAAGAAAAGGAAGGAAAATATCAAGATTTTCTTACCGGTTCTCAAAGGGAGGTGCGTTGGGGGCCTGGGTCTTGTTGCTCCGTGCAGGGGAGGAAAAAGAAAAGCAAACGCGCGGGTGAGGAAGAAGAAAGAAGGAAGAAAAATAGTTGATCCTTATCCAAATCCTTTTCTCTTTTAAGTCCCTCAAGTTTGAGAATTTTCACTATTACGCCCCAAACAATATTTTCTCACACAAAGGTCCTCAACTTAAATGATAAAATTCCCCAAAATTTGGGATATTACATACAACAAGCATACGAGTCCCATACCAAAAACTCCTAAACCGAGAGGCTGCTACCTCGATCTACTGATCTGAAATGGAGGGAGAATTTTATGAGATAACAGCCTAATAAGTAATAAGTTTAAGCTATAAACTTAAGTCTTAAGACCCTTAGACCTATCCACACAAAGAGCATAAGACACAACGGAATCAAATCACATAATATTATAATTCTCACTATTTAAATACTAACTTAATATCTCAAATCATAAGCACAAATGTTAAGGAATAATCAACGACATTTAAATTAAATTCATATACTAAAATCATATGCTCACAAATACAATATCACAAGCGCAATGCATAAACTCGAAAATCACACAATGCTATGGAGTCCACTAAGGTGTGCTAGCAACACTATACCGAAGCTAATCACAGTACTAACCCTACTGCGTAGAGGTCCACTAAATACCCCAAAGGATCCACTGAATACCCCAAACTTTAAGCTTAAGTCCACTTACTCAATAACCACAAACACATACGAATGTCAAACAATTCATAATATGTTCAAAATAATATTAGGACTTCCTATTGAAAAAGATCAAAGCAAGGTGCATGAACAGTAATCATGAACAGTACAATTTACTTATAATTCCGGCAAGCAAAAATTCGCACCCCAATCAAACATAAAAAGAAATAACTCACTGTCTTTCCCATATAAGCCCCAAAATTAAGGATATTTCTAATGAAATTTTAATACTCAAAAATCTTATAAATCAAAGGATTAGAGTCAAATCTCACCAATTTAAACTACCCAAAACTCTAACCCAAAATTCATAACTAAAACTTATACTTACCTAACAAAAAGCACCTTAACCTAGGTTGGAGGAAGAAGGAAGAAAAAGATGTAGGCGGAAGAAGAAGGCATAGGAAAACAAAATGGGGCTTTTGGGAGCCTTCTGGAGGCTTATCCAAGTTTCCACCAACAAACAAAAAAAACTTGGTTGGGACAATGCCATGTGGTAAGCAAAATTGGGATAATTGAGTTATGGTCATTCAACTTCTACTAAATTCTACTTAAAACCCCCAAACTTTAAATTCAATCAATTTAATCCCTAAAACTATAAACTAAATGACACTAATTTTTAAATTATTCACTAAGGTATGTAGAGTGTTACACAAATGGCTAAAGACCACAATCCTCTAGTAAGTTGAAATTTCATTTTACTTGGGGACGACATCTAGTGGGTTGGGAACTATTAATATTGAGATTTCCTACTCTTCTCATGAAGCTGACTAAGTAGATGAAGATGTCTAGTACCTTTTAATGCTTGTAGTAACTTTCCTTTTTACATTAGTAGTTTTATTTTGCCCATACAACTATTGTAATTATGATCTCTAATCGTAAATGACTCTCTTTACTTAATTGTTTATATATGCAATTAGTATAGTTTAAATATGTTATTAGTACTATAAATTATACTTCTGATTTTGTTTTAACCTATAGTGTCCTAAAATATAGACTGAGTTGTAATCTCATTTCATTTTAATATAATTCTCTATTTCTTATATAAAAAAAAAAAATCATGACTACTTAAATTCCCCAAAAAATACCAAAACTACAAGCTCTTCAAACCTAAACCTTAAAGCCCATCTAATCCAGTTTTACATTTTTAAAAAGATAGGCTAACCATCACCTATTCGGGCCTACATCCAATCTCCCATTTTTAAAATTCAAGGCTACCAGTACCCAAATCTCTAAAGAAAAATATCCAATTACAAATCCTTAAAGCCCAAACCTTAAAATTTAAACCCTCCTTTTTCGGGCCAAGCCATATGTGCAAAAATGTGACACATGTAAACCCCTAAGAGGTGGATGAAATCATTTGCAAACACTTCACTCCCTGTTTGAGATATATTAACTTAAAAATAAAGAGTAATGCTGTGGGAAGACGCTGGGTCCCCAGGCCCGACTGGCTCCCTATTTCTTTTTTAATTCTACTTTTTAAATTTGATATTTTTTTGTTTTATTTTTAAGTCATGTAATTTTTATTTATTTAACTTAATAAACACTTGAATCTTTTAATTATTAAGTATTAAACCTTAAGAATTTAAAGTCAAAATACATTAAACACTAAATCTTAAGTAATCTAAACCTTGAATCTATAAAAGTTTGAATCTAAAAAATCTAAACACTAACACTTTAAACATGAATTCTAAAATAATTTAAACACTAAACTTTAAAAAATCTAAACTCTAATCTCCTAAATACTAAACCTTAAAAATTTTAAACTTTAACAACATGAATTTAAATTAATTTTAACTTAAACAAAAAATAAGATAATAAAAACGAATTTAAATTATTAAAAGTAGGGACTAAATAATAAATTTAACTTTTAAAAAAGGAAAAAATTTTATTAGTGCCATGTCAATAGTACCCTACTTAAAATGCTTGAGACAAAAGGACTTTTAAAACCATGTGTAATGATTTTTAATTAACAATTATAATCTTTTTCACATCTTTGTTTATACCACAATTAACAAATTTTAAAAATGATGTCATGTGTCTAAATAGAATTTAAGCAGTCATATATTTTTTATAATTAATTGGAAAATATTTAATTGTGATTCAGTATATTGGAGTTATTTTTGGTGTAACCATGTGTTGATGCATATTATTTTTATTGAGTTGGGCTTTTGACATTTTGTTAATTAAGCCTGGGTTTAACTTTATTTATTTAAAAGTGGACTTGAAATTGAATTAATTGGATGGAGCAAGATAATTCTGTGGCCCAAAAAGGGTGCAGCTCAAGTACTCTTTTGGACTTCTGCAAATAAATCAAGAGCTCATGGATTAAAAATAATATTTTATTTGGGGTTAATCTCTCATCTTGTTGCTTTGGAGTGAGTGAGTCGTAGAGTTGGAGACTAGATGCAAGCGAGATTTGACCAAGTCAATTGAGGAAAGTAAGGTTAATTTCTATGAGGTTCCAACTAGTAAGATCTTGGTGGTTTCTAGCTGCTGATTTTTGTTTTTGGCTAACTAGCAGTTCGCGTGATGAAGGTAATTTCAGGACTATTGAGATTTTCTTTCACTGTGGATGATGAAAATGATTAAGATTTGATTTTTGAAGAATGGTTTGGTTATGGAAACTTTTAAATACAAGTCTTCAACACATTTTTTAATTTCAAGAAGCATATTCTTCGCACACAAATCAATTTACATTTTAAAGCCCATTGTTCTATACAAAGCATGTCTTAGTTTGAGTTTAGTCTACCTAACTATTTCTTAATTCGAAGTTACTTTTTAATAAATTATCTTTGAATTTCCAGTCCAGTAAGAGCAAAACAGCAATCTCTAGAGGATTTCTTTCTTTGTTAATTTAATTTTGGTAAGATTAGTCTTCATGACATTATTTTATTTAGTTGTTTGCTTCTACTCAAATTCTCAATTATTTAGTATTTTGATTTAAATTCAAATATGGCTACAATTTCAATTAGACTTGAGTCTCTTTATATTTTTATTGCAATTTGCGGTTTGGTTGATCTTTAGCTTACTGTGTTTCCAAATTTCTATTAGCTTATGATTTTTGTTTGTAGTTTACGTTTTTGTCTAACTTTATTTACTACACATTTATTTATTAATGCTAGCACTTATTTTTAACTCATTCACTTTCTGACACTTTAATCTAATTTTCTTGATATTTGTTTATCATAATCAAAGTTTTTGACATGCTTCCAATGCAATTATAGTTCACTGTACAAAAACTAATCCCTTATTCTACCAATCATCTGATTCAAGTGTATTTTATTTTAAAGATATTCTTCCAACAGCTCTTTTTTGTAAGAAAAAATTAAGCGGAAGGAGAGAGTTGTCAACAAATCATTTTCTTATTTTTCTAGCAAAAATAGTTGGTACGCTTTCATTTTAATTTTTACTGAAGGTGTGACTTATAGGATTTGAAGGGTAACGCATGTTTAAACAAAGTGTATATTAATTAAGATTGTTAGCTAATTCGCACAACAGGAGATCAGGTTTCCAAGAAATAAAACAGTGTCCAGAAATAGTTCAGCTTCTCAAAATATCTACTCAATGCTTGAGCCATATAGTATTTTAGATCTTTTCGGCCCATGATTTGAGGTTGAAGTTGAGCCAACTTTATATTTTTAGGCTCGAATACAATATATCAATATAAAACTTTCCCATGCAATTCTTTTCTTTTATATTTTTAAACATTTTATAATAAATCATTTTGAAAATTTTCAAAGTCTTAAGGGTGGTTTTGGCATCTCAAGTTTCCTAAGAGATGCCTGAAAACTTTTAGGGTATGTAACAAAATGATCAATACCGTGCTAGCATATGTATTAATTTTGTTACTAAAACGACTTATATCGGATATCAAAATTTTATACATACTGTTTCGGATTTATTGCTATAAATATATATTTT